CAAGCTAGTCGCAGACCCATGAGATTCAGGCAGATTTCTGGCTGCAAGTCCCAAGTTGAGCTCCCTGTCCTCCTGTAGGGTTGAACTCTGCAGAGTTGTACTGCAGGTTCCAGTTGCCCTTCCCCTGAAGATAGACACTATCCTATTGGGAGGTGAAGATGACTCTAACTTACCCAATACAGTGGTCTGGTGGTCTGGTGTCCTCTGCGTCTTTGTAGTGTGGAACCAAGTGGTTGTGCAGAGGAGTGGGGATGTGGGGGGGTGTCCAGTGGATTGCTGCCAGGGCACGGGCTGATTCAGTGTATTCTGTGGGACTTGCGACCTTGGTAGGGCGTCCGCAGACCTGCCTGTCTGCAGCGGGCTGATTCGGTGCGTTCCGCATGACTCTAAAATGTGGTTTTCTGCACAAGCAAAAGGACCCGAGTTCGATCCCTGGTATCAAAAAAAAAAAAGAAAATGTGGTTCTTTTTAAAAATAAAATGGATTACTACTCAGCCATAAAAAATGAGAAATTAGACACATTTATTGTTAAATGGATGCACACTGAGGCGATACTCTTAAATGAAATAAATGCGACACACGTGTAAATACCAAATAGTTTCTCTGTTGTGAGAAACTGAAAGTGTATGTAAGGAGTAAAAGGTATAATAGATAATGTGAAATAGGAAGAAAAGGGGCAAAGGTGATGGGGAAGTGGGAGGGGAAGGGGAAAGGAAGGAAGGGAATGGAATTAATATGAGCAAATGAAAAAATGGAAACAAAGTCTTTGTAAATAGGGAGGGATGGAGAGGTTGAAGGGAGGGCAGGGGAAGGGGGAAAAAAGAAGAACCAAGAGACATTATGTAAAGGTGCAAATTTCCAATGATGAATGCCATTATTGTACACCTAAAATGTACCAATAAAAGGATATACAGTTAAAAAAAATCAACAGCCAACACCATACTAAATGGTCAAAAACTAAAATTTTTCACGCTAAAATCAGGAACAAGACAAGCATGTCCACTATTACCTATCACCACTCCTGTTCAGGAAACATTAGCTACAGTAATTAGACAAGAGAAAGAAAAGAAAGGAATAAAGAAAGGTAAAGAAGAAGTTAAACTGTCATTATTTGCTGACAACATGATACTCTACATAGAAGACCCAAAAACTCCTCCAAAAGACTTCTAGACTTAATTGACAGATTCAGTAGTGTAGCTAGATAAAAGGCCAACACTCAAAAATCAATAGCCTTCTTGTACACAAATAACAGAATCACTCAGAGAGAAATTAGGGAAACAATTCCTTTCACAATAGCATCCCCCCAAAATGAAATATCTATGAATCAATCTAATGAAGAAACTAAAAGACCTTTACCTTGAAAACTACAGCACTCTGAAAAAAGAGATTGAAGAGGATATAAGAAAATGAAAAGATATCCCTTGTTCCCGGGTACAACCAAAACTTTTATATAGCTTCAATCCAATCCCGATTGAAATCCCAACAGTGTATTTCACAGAACTAGAGAAAACAATCCAAAAATTTATTTGGAACAAGAAGAGCTCTAGAATAGCAAAAGCAATTCTAGGCAACAGAGACATGACTGTGGGTATCATAATCCCCAACATGAAACTATACTACAAAGCCACTGTGATTAAAAAAACCCCAGCATGGTACTGGCAAAGAAACAGACTTAAGGATCTGTGGAATAGAGTAGAAGATGCAGAAACAACTCCAGACATATTCAGCCACCTCATCTTTGACAAAAGAGCCAAACACCCTCACTGGATGAAAGATATCTTCTTTAATAAATAGTGCTGGAAAAACTGGATTTCAACCTGTCAAAGATTAAAACTAGATCCATATCTTTAGCCATGCAGTAAAATAAAATCAAAGTGAATCAAAGATCTAATATTAAAACAGAAACACTGAACTTGCTTGAAGATAGGTTAGGTAGAACTCTTGAAAACTTTGGCATAGGAAAAGATTTTATGAACAAAACCTCAGTAGGACGGGAACTAGCACAAAAAATCAATAAGTGGGATCTCATCTTATTAAAATGCTTCTGGCCAGGGATTTAGTTCAGTGGTTCTGCCACTTGCCTCGCAAGGACAAGGACCCAAGTTCAATTCCTGGTACCAAAAAGCTTCTGCACTGCAAGAGCAACCACCAACAGAGCTAAGAGACAATCTACAATGTGAGAAAAAAATTTTTTACCAGCTGTTCCTCAAAGAAAGGACTACTGTCTAGAATATATAAAGAACTTAAAAAATCATCCCCCCCCCAATTTTAAAGACCCAATTCAAAAATGGGCATATGAAATGAACAGACATTTTGCAAAGAAATAAAAGCAGCAAACAAATATGTAAAAAATGTTCAACATCATTTGAGAAATGTGGGTGAAAACAACATTGAGAAAGGACTAAATGTATAATAGGTAACGTGAAATAGGAGGAAAAGGGGCAAAGGGGAAGGAAGTGGGAGGGCTAGGGGAAAGGATAGAAGGGAATGGGATTAATATGAGAAAATGG